TTATGTATATGTTTATTCTTTTAGTTCCCATTGAGGGTTTGTGGAACACAAGGAGCCACAAGGTTTGTGGTCTCGTGTGTCCTCGGTGACCATCCTTGCTGGACAAACCTTGTACAAGACTTGTACAATTTATATCAAGATTTCCATAATATTTTAGTTTGTGAAACAAAATATATTACTTTTCGTTTAATTCTTTTTACAGTACAATATTGTTTTATCGAAAAATTAAGGCAATGTATTATTACCAAAAAATATTTGTTATATGGTAATATATGAATTGATTTGGCTGTTAAATAGACTCGATGCTGCACCGATGAAAACATTATAACTTCTATGAAGATTTGATTTGGATTTGGATTTTTATAAGCACAAATCGGCACATATATGTACAGGGTTGAGCCTATCAGTTCTCGCAGTCCATGTACCATTCCAGCTTTTGTAATTTACAATAAATTACCGGCAAGCCTCGAGACTCACCAAACTCGGTGTTGGCAGTCCGAGGCTTATCATCCAGCCACCAAGGTAGGGGCTATAGGGTGCTGTCAACAGCTAGGTCAATTCAGCACGCAACGAATGCAGTTCCAAGATAGATTCACTTTCACTCATTCTTAATACATTCTTTCGTTTTTAATTTATTTACATACCATACTCACAGGGTAATGGGGTTTGAAGTATTTGGTGATGTCGAATGTAGAAAAAAAGTTCTTTAAAAAAAATCCTATATTCTTCTAATACAAATGAAGTTCATTTATTAGTAGCAAAATTGGTAAATTGTTTTAATGTGTTTTTCATCAATTTACTGTTTTCCACCAAAAAAAATAATGTTTGACTACTTACTTTTGCTCAAAGTTTGTGATTCACTATTGTTTTGACTATTTTGTATATATGTACATAGTAGTCATAATTAACCTATTAATTATACGCCGTTGTTCTAACTACTTGAGCTATCGGGACTTCGATCCAATCGGATGCGGCGTATTGAGCCGAAGGTCCTGGGTTCGAATCCTGCTCGTGAAACTAATTTTTTCATCTTAACCAACACCTTACATAAAAGGTATAATTAATTTAAATATCAATAATATAGAAATAGAAGAACTTTATGCTTCATTAATAAGAAACGACATGATACTACAATTTATTTTCTTAGTTGATATATTCTTTGCTTTTTCTCTTCTATGTATATATGAGTACATGACTACAAAATTAATTTTGTTCAGCTTCGACGTTTAAACTTCGCTAGAGGATATCAGATGCAAATACCCGATGTGCAATTTTCCTAAATCTTGTAAAAGTTTCCCTGGCCCGAGTAATATGCCCTTTCCGTCGACGCCTCAGTTAAATATAACAGATTATTGGACTGAGTCCACGGGACATTACCATAGTATTGGCAACGCAAATTGAAGTTATTTAAGTTTGATTCGTTGGTCTCTCTCTATATTTGTAGAACGACCCTCACTCCAGAAACCTCCTCCAGAGACAAACTGGCTTGAAAACATTCTCGCCGCTTAATTACTATTTATAAAACCGAGGCTAAACTGCCCTGAATTGCCTTACCGACACTAAATATCTCGGTTTTGTGGACGGTTTATTTATTCGGGCCGATTCCCCTCAGATCCTAAAACCGACTCACGTACATTTTCAGAGCCGGTGTCGCGGCTTTTCAAGAGTTTGAAGACGAACTTGTTGAATATATTTGTTTATAAGTATCATTCATACATGTAAAGTTTGAATCGTTAGGAATGAACTTATAAAATTATTTGTATATTTAGTTTGAAAAGCCCCAACCACGATGGAGAAGCGAAATGAATCCCCTCCCCTATTTACTACGCATATCGCATAAATCTGCATTGAATAATAATTCATAAACTGCGTCCAGTTCCAAACGTGTTGACAAAAAGCAACGGCCGTCTCCTTGGGATTATGAAATTGCGCATTGTTAAAAAAAAAAGATAAACGGAAGTCTACAGCGACTTTAAAGACTATCCTAGCGTAACGACTTGACAATATCTCAAATTTTAGTGAATCTTTACATTTCATCACTTTTCTCTTGTTGCTGAATGATTGAATAATTTATTTTTTAAATCTGACTGTTTTCAAGTAAAACACACTTTTTTCCCAACATTGCAAGACACTACAAAGTGAAGAATGCCTGTTACCACAAGGTCTAAATTAGATTCTTTGATCTTCAACAATTCATTACATAGTAACGCAAATTTAAAATATTGAACTTTAAAATGGAAAGTTCTTTATTTTTATTTTTTTGTTATTGTATGATGAGTACTCGATAGTTCTTCATCATCTTTACACATATTTTATAACTAACCTAATAGAGGTTCGTTGGGGTATTTGAATATCTGTCAAGAGGTATCTGCCATCAACCCTCTTACACTACACATTTGCGCCAATAAATACATTCACTATCAATACATGCTAGGGATACCAAATCATCAATAATATATACAATAAAACAACCCTTTTTGCTCCAAAAATTGAACCTAGATATCTGCTCCAATGCTCAAGCATCCCTAATCACTTTTTTGTTGTTTTATGTAGTTACTAAAATATTATGAGGTCAAGGCAAATGAAAATGAACTCTTGACCAACCTAAACTTCATAATTCAAAAATATTGATTTTTTCATTGATAAAAATTTGAGGAGGAAATAACATTATAATCATTTGAATTGATTTAAAACCAAAATTCATATTTCGTTTAATACGTGCTGAAATGTTCTTTACTTTTTTTCAAAATGTAAAGCCAAGCGTTGGATCCAATAGTTTTTAAATATAGAATTTATATATGGGTACATCGAGAGTCCCTATAAGTATAGATTTTCACACGTTGCCCGGTTCCAAAAAGGAACGGCCATATGTTCTGGTGCCGAGGACAGAAATAGTCCTACACCGAGCCTATCAATCTGTCTGTCTCCTTGTTTCTTCGCTCTGTGGCTTTCTATTCATATTATTTCTTTCTTGTTCAAGAGGGGTGTGGGACTTTTGCTCACGACTTTACGAAAAGTGGGTGTTAACTGGTCCATTTTATTCAAGACGGCAATAAAACGGAACAGAATAAGCAAGACCAGAGGGACAATGGTTCGGTACAATGTAAAGCCGGAGGGCTACCTCCAATCAGCTGTAAGCGATATCCCTTTGCCGGCTCAGTTGAGCAAGTGGTGCAGGGAAGAATTTTTCTATTTCCTAGTTGTAATATGAACAAGAGGAGTTTTTCATTTGATCATTGAAGTTCATTAAATTTGTTTAGAACAGTTAAAACGCATAAGTTTTCCTCAAAACATTTTTTGATTAGGAAGAAAGAATGCGCGTTTAATAAGTTGTTTTTGGTTTGAAATCAAGAGATGAGCAAAAGTATTTTGAATATTGAATAGTATTTCTTTAAAATTGAGCGATCCATTAAAATAAACTTTCAGAATAGTTTGATAATATTAAAAATTATTTATTTTATTATTTTATAAATTAAGATTTGCAAACAACTTTCCTATGTTTTGCTTCCATAGCGAGGAAAGGGTGAAATTATAAGAAGAATAACGCCAAAAATTTCGTCTTTTTTAATGTGATCGGAAACTATAGGGAATCTTCGAGTGCTTATTGTTAATGTATGGTCATACAAGTTTAAAAAAATCGGTACAGGTCAATTTATGTTTCCATTCTACGAACAATCAATCACTTCTTCTATCTACCAGACTTCTATCAAGAGTCTGAATTGAGAAACTGGCTTTAAAAGATAAAGAAAGTAAATCGTGAAGAGTGGTCGACCCAAGACCTAAAGTATATAACTAGTAAATTCTATTAAAATATATTGATGTGAGTAATAAATAAGTTATATAAACTATTACAGTGTTTATACGGAGATAAATAAGATGAATTATTATAAATCTTACCACATCTTCACAATTTATTATAGAAGGTTATTCACTATTTTCGTACGATAAAGTTCCTCGGGTACGTCTACATCTCAAATTCATCAAAAAAAGTCCGAATGAACCATGATCCGATTCTAAACCCTTTCGCATTTTTTACACTATCTACGATTTTCGTCATAAATCTACTAGTAGCTTTTGAACTATTCAGTTTTGGGGTAATTTTTTATTTATTTTATTATTATTTAAGTTTATTTGAAATAAATAATAACAATTAGTTATTTTTTTACACATTACGAATCGTTTCCATTATTCGCTTTGCCGCCTCCTTCGTTCTGGGTTCTGATCCTAATTGTGGTTTTGACATCCATCCAACAGATCGAAGTTCTTTCATTAATGGAATATTTCTGAACGGGGCCAAACCGAGTACACAAAAATAATGTAAACTGTCTGAAAGTTGTTACATTCACTTTTCTTTAGAATTCAATAACCATTTAAAATCAAGTACGAAGCGTAGGGATAATAATAAAAACTGTGATTATCAAAAATCGGAACCGAAACATTTAATATTTAACGCTCACGAATGAGCACGAAATTTATAAAATTAGCATTAAATGTTGACTCCGTGTGTTGTGGGTATGTGTGTGCTTAAACGCGTTATTGCGTCTTGTTGGCAAGCAATGGTGTTGAGAACTTGTGCACTTGTTTAATATATGCTCTTTTTAATAACTATTCATATGATTTGATGTCATTTTTAATAATGTCTAATTAAACGTAAATTGTTAAACGACACACTGGCATTTGTGACATAGCGGTACGGGGTTAGAATCTCAACTTTTTTCTTTGTACTTTGAAATAATATTCCTTTTAATGCAAATATTGAAATTATTAATACTATAGGGTCATACTATTTCATAAATTATTAAAGTATTTAAAAAGCTAATTCTCAAAATTGAACGTAAATATGTTTGCCATAATAGGTCGTAAAGATAGCCCGATAGGAGTTGCCTCATGGTTTATTTGCAGCCTGGAAATCTGTTTACAAAGCGTTGTTCGTTCCACGCCTTATATAAAAGACGATGATTCAGTAGATCCAACAAATATGTTTTATAATATTTAGAGTTTTTAATTGAAAGCAAAATATTGTCCACGTCTGATCAAGTTTGTTCCGCCGAGTGTTATCTCTGAAGGATATGTTCATTTTGTGGGAGAATCGACACCAAATCCGAGACATACGAAGCATACAAAACAGGGATAAGAATCCTACCTTGTGGGACCTTCGATCGAGCTGTTGACGTCAAAAAAGATCTCTCTACAGGTGATTAATTCTTTGATAGTAGAAATAAACAATAGAAGGGAACCGATCTTTTAGAATGTTGGTATTGCAGTATGTGCAAAAGGCATTGTACAGGCTCCCTCATTGTCAAAACAAGGCTACAATATATCTATCATCGGTAAAAGCTAGACATGTATACATATAAGCTGCAGAGCATCAAACATGGAATGGTTTTTTGTGAAAACTGTACTGGCTGCCTGGGGGCTTCTTATTAAGTTCCAACTAGCATTGAAGTATGTTTCAGCATCCTCTCATATGTCTTCAGTACGCATGACAAGACGGGTATGGGGGTTTAACTTCCTTTAATATTAAGATAATCAATTTTTTTCCATTCTTTCGGACCTACCGCGTTTGCCCAGATTTTGTTTAAAAGCTCCAATATCATCTCTTTACAATTCCTTGGCAGAAAACACAACATTATGTAGTGCATTTGTTCCATTCCTGGAGCGCTGTTATTGGTATTTTATAATGCATTCTCTAACTACTTTACCGTAAAAGGAGCTATCAGTGAAGCCTCTGCTTCTGTTTGTTGGTTTGTTCTTTTCATTAAACATATAAACTGAGCCCGGAGGGCAGAGCATACTCATGAATTAGTCGAGCCATTGACCTCCGGGGATGGTGGGTGTGAAAGGCCTTAGGGAATTGATAATATTTTTGAGTTTTTCCCATACCGTTTTGATAGGTGAAGATCTGTTAAGTGATACAAACGTACACGCAACGTACAAAAGGCTTTTCAGAAATATATTTTGGCTGTTTTAATAACCTTTGGGCAATTCGTGTCAGATTGGGATATCTTTTATACGCCTTGCAAGCCTTCCCCCGATTTCGTATGGGGTTACTGCATTTTGAAGTCCACAGGCTTTACCCGACGGTTTTGATTTCTGGTTCTCTCTTACTTGCTGTTACTTTGTTAAAGCTTTCTCGCAGGCTTCTAAAAGGGAGCTTTCCAAATCCTCGTAATTTATTAATGTGATTTCTGTTTTCACACTTTTTCGTTCCCATGCTTCGCAGTAGAGACTCCGGTCTGCTTTATGAATATTCCATATTTTGTCTCTCCTTCGAATCACTTCAATATTTGTTTCGCCCATTGTTAAATTAATTGGGCGATGATCGGAACCCATTGGGTCTTGAAGTGTGACCCAGTTAAACAAAGCCTCAATTTTGGCTGACTCCAAAGTGACGTCTACTGTAGTACCCTCTTTATGACGGTGCTACTCTCGTCGCGGAAACATCGTTGAAGAAAACAATATTATTATTGTTTATGGCTTCTTGGAAATTCCTACCTTTAAGGTCAGACCGTTAGCGTTTCCATGGCGTTTAAAAAAAAAGAAAGGGAGAGAGAGAGAGAGAGAGAGAGAGNTGTGTGTGTGTGTGTGTGTGTGTGTGTGTGTGTGTGTGTGTGTGTGTGTGTGTGTGCGGGCGAAAGGGAGAGAGAGACTGAAGAAAGGGTAATGTTTAAAATGTAGAAAGATGGAGAAAGACATTGAGGTAGAAAAACGTGAATTACTCCATTAAAAGTAAAAATATTATTAGAGTCTAAAAAAAAAAAGAACTGTTCATATCTTAAGAACAAGAAGAAAAACCAACAACATTGTAAAAATTGAACGAAATTTGTATAAAATCATAATATTGCATGATATAAAGTTAAATTATGTTTCATGTAATATTTCCAATTGTCAGACTCATAACTTATTAGTGAAAACCAGTACGATATTCAATCAATATTTGATAAGAAACAGTTGAGAATCATAAAAGTTCAAAAATATAAACAAAAGGACTTAAGAGATCTAACTGTTGAAAGTAGGTCGTCCGGTCATCTGTTTACTGAGATTCAATCGTAATAGAAAAATCTAGCGGAGGAAAGCGTGGGGGCAGGCTTATCGGCTGTTATTTTGCGATAAGCTGCGACGTAGAACGTCGTATGACGGTTCCAAAACAATCCAGGCCGTTTAAAAAATCGCCGGTTCAATTAAGCCGAGCATTTTCAAAACTTTGGCTCACGGATTATGCAAAACCTAAGTTGCCATTAAGTCCTCGCTAGGGCTTATATTAACAATTTCTTTTATCATTTCCAACTCGCATTCCATATAAATTTCCAATGAATAAGGCCAATGGAATTGTCCAGGTTTTTGATTAATTAATTCTCAATGCAAAATTTTTCACATTCTTACATTTCATCTGACGATGTCGGTCGGCCTATCAATAATATATAAAATTTGTAATACATTTAAGATAGATATATACATCCAATTTTTTACGACTTACTTTAGGATTTCTTCAATCATAACTTGGTTTTATTTTTAAAAGCTTTATAATTTGCGAAATGTATATATTTTCTTATGCATAGTTTTCTTGCTGTTTTATTTGATATATCAATTACATCGTTTTTTTTGTAAGAATATAAGTGACGACTCACACGTGGATGAGCGCGCGCGCTACACACACACCGCGCTAGTCTTAGATAAAACCGCAAAAATATCCCATAAAGCACACACAAGTAAAGTTTCTTTAATAAATAGAACTAGAGCTCTGTGAGAACTATACCTACTATTAAAAATTAGAAAATCCAAATTCACAAATTATGTTTTGATATGGTTCATACAGAAAGAGAAAGCTGTGTTGCAGTATTATTTTGCAAGACGTTTTACTTTTATTTATTTTTGTACATATTACTTTTCTGTGTATTACTTTTCTTTGCATTAAATAGCTATTTCTTTATTATTATCAATGGACTTTGATTCTGACTGTAGTCACATCTTTACCATATGCTTTCGGCCATAGGATGTTTTAAACATAAAAACTAAGATCTGATTTTTAAGTAAGTCATTAATATAATAATTTTTTAAAATGTTTTTATTTGTAATCTGTACTTACCTACTTTACACATTTCAAATATGATCAAATTTTTTTTTCAAATGGTCGCAGCACTAACATAAGGCCAGGGTTGCACTTGAAGGATACATGTCATGATAAACCAGCCAGTGTACTCATTGTGTAATGGATTAAGGGACAAGTTGTTCTTAAGGTTATCATTGATTAAGACGACGTTCTCGGGATGGGAATGTGTAGAGAGGGCCCTAGTAGTAATGATAGGGTGGATCGAGAGGTAGCTGTGAAACATTTGGAACGGGATCATATCAATTCGTCGACAAAAGAAATGTTGAAGTTGTTGTGGATAGAGCGAGGTGACGTAGCAAGGAGGTTTGACAACAGAACTTTTCATTGGAAGAATTGGTTGTATTTGGTGTTGGATGATTTGGCAGAACCCCACAGTTTCACTCAATGTGTCCAAAATTCGGAGTAAAGTCATACATAACGTTAGTTACGGTTTAACTGTCAAGCCAGATTTCGTTACAATAAGAATATTTTTCTTTCTAGAGTCTTGTTCTCCACTTTTTTTCAGCAGCCTTCGATAAGCTCAAGGTGTTCGTGGATGACGGAGGTAGCAAGATTAGCATTCGAGTGAGAGGACAAAATTGCAGTATCATCCGCATAGGGGGTGATAGTGGGATGTGAAGGTAAGTCAGCACTGTAAAACATAAAGGGGGGACCAAGAATACATATTATGGGACACCAACTAGTATTGGTCCGATTCTCACTCTGAACTATCGGTCGGTTAGGTAGGATTTCATGATAAGATGATAAGGAATGGGTAGAAAGCGTTTAATGTAATAAAACATGTTCAAAAGCCTGTGCTACATATAATATAATCTTGACACAAAATTTGGCATCATGTAACTGTTCATTTCATGTTTTATCAATATTTATTGTTGAGATTTTATAATTATGCATTCTAAACTATTAAATTTATTTTTTGCAAACAGGAGTCGAAACAAACTCTTGTTATATAAACCATTTAGTATAAACCTATTTACTAAGTTTTTTTTATTTACATTACTATTATTACTTATCAAGTATTGTATCAGTGAGGACAACTCATTTGTTATTTTTAAATTTATCTGAAGACGTCTGATAGCATGAATAGGCTTACAAATAAAAAAATGAGCGTTGCAAAACATTATTTCCTAAAACACATAAATTTAAATTACCTCTCAAACGTGTAGCATCAAGAAATTTTAATATCAATATGAGACAATAACATACATTTTCATTTATAATTAATTAATAACAAAAATTAATACACATCCTCATAATTTTGAAAAACCGATTTTTATTATATATGATATGAACTGTTGTCTCTCAGGGGATAGATGAAAAATCTCAGAATTAGTGGTAGTTAACTCTAGTCGAGTAGGCAAAATTAATAAAATTATTACGATTGAAGTCATTATTTAAATAATTTAAAATTTATGATGAAGCTGATACCCTGAGATGCAAAAAAAGTGGCCACTCTCTTTTTTTAAGTAAATCCTTCCAATCATTATAATCGTTTTTATTGTTTACTGGTTGTTTTTAAAGAAAAAAGTAAAACATAGCTAAATAAAAAAAATAAACTGGGTAAAATAATTTTACCTAAAATGTTCCTATGGAAACAACGAAGATAATATTCAATTCAGTTAGGATTATTTCCTCCTCTTGCAATGATCTCCGCTTGCATTCGACGTGGCTTCTATTTTATGATGTTTTGAATGTAGGGCTGTGGTATATTTTCATACTTCTCAAACAGCGCCAATCTTAATTCCTTCAAATACTCTAGCATGACTACTACTTCTAAACTGTTGATTCGTTGCTTGATCTCAACAATAATCAATAAAATGACGGTTGGCAAAACCTTACTACTAATTACAATTAAGAAAGGTTTTTAGTTGAGATACAAAAGTCAATGGCACGAGCGGGATTCGAACCCACGATCTTCGGCTTGATACACCGCTGCTCTACCACCTGAGCTATCGTGACCTCGATCCACATGGACACCAACTTCCCATCTCAACCGCACCTTTTGAATTTTCCCTCCTTTTTGCCATTTTTCACTACTAATGTGTCTGTTAGTGTTTGAGCGCGCCAAGTAAATAAGCGTATGT